ATATTGTTCTTAAATGTTTGAAACGATCACCAGTTTTTGTGCACCTGGGCACACTCTGAGCAAAACTTCTTCAAATTCAGGATTTCAATTGCACAAAAGCTATGTTCCGTAGTATTTTTATCAAACCATCTAAGATTTGTGATTGAGATTCGCCCAATGCATCCAATCCGTGGTTGTAAATCATCAGGAATTTACAACCTAATGTGAAGGCGTACGGGCAGCTGCGCGGAGGTGTGGGGGTGTATAGGACATGGGGTATCTCTGAGCTAACCGTACCCATTATCAGCCGGAATTTGCAAAGCTGTCCACACAAGGGGTTGCAGTATGTATCAGCTAGGTAAGTTCAACAAATTTCGGTCATCGACAGGGGTCACACGAAGATTGACAACTGTGGACGGAAACGTTTGTCCTGAAATACCACACGGTAGAGTGTGAGTGGTGGAAGGTGGAAAGGATCGGTGGAGGGAACTGAACTTAGTGACAGATTGCAGGACTCTGTAATTTGACCAAATCTGTGACGTGTTCCTCCTGGTCCACCGCTGTGTTGACCTTAGAAACTCAACAATCGATATCGGGCGAGTGGCAAGCGACGTGTTACAACATTATATGAAAGAACGGCTGCAGATTTCCGTTTCGACTTCACAGGAGATGAAAGCGGATTGCACAGAAAATATTGCGCTGATGTTTGTGATCCCCTTGGTCAGGATCCACCGAACTCTCAGCCTTGGAAAACGTTTGATTTTATCAATGTAATCTGATAAAATTTTCATCATCTAGAGGATACATGATGTTTATTCGTACGATTCATACAAAGTATGATGTTTCCTTTTATATAATTTGTAATGATGTTATATGATGTTTCCTGATTACAATATATATTTATATATTTATAACTGGGAAAAGGAAGGTGGGTGGTATCTCTATTATCCCCGATATGCTCTGCAACAAGAAGAATCACACATTTATATTTACTGAAAAAAAGAAACGGTCTGATCAGCTGCCCGGTAACCGAGCGAGTAGTATGCTTGCTTTCTGCCTGTGAGGTCCCGGGTTCGATCCTCAGTTAGGTCGATGGGTTCCAACGAGATTGAAACAGCTGTCCGGTTCTTCGTAGCTTTTCAGCTAACGCCTCAATTACAGGACGAATTAGCTCGTGGTATCCAATGTGGGGTGAGATGTACTTGTAGATCAGAACCTGAAAAAAACAGCTGGGTCACTCTTACTTAAAACGTGTTCCAACATGTAAGAATTTGCACTATGAAACATGAAATAGAGGTATCCCTGACCAGAGACTGGAAATTATGTGAAATTTCAAACAAAGTGTGAAACTTTCAAGGTGAAATCTAACCACTATCAAACAGTGATCTGTGAGACTTGTGATTTCCAGATTTAAATAAGATAGGAATGGTTGCCATTTCCTTTTTTCACGTTGCTTCCTTCACTTACTATTCAAATTATCAAAAATAGTAACGCTGATGCATAGGGGAGTGAACATAATCAGAACAACAATAGTGAGGGTGAGGGAGTTACGTTAATTTTCTTTCGTGACCTTTGAGAGATCTACTTTTTGAACAGACTATTTGTCTGATTTTCACCCATCGACCGACCAGCTATGATATTTATTTGTTTTTGTGTGGTAAATCATCGAAAAAAATACGATTGCACAATCCTTGGATCGTAAGCTAGGGAATACTTGAGTGGATAGACCATGCACAGAAACCGGAACGAACCAGTGACCGAGTAAGATCAACGCGAATACGCATGGATTGCCGTGCTCAGCTCAACATCGAAGAGGACCGGGAGAACGCTCCGCAAGAGTAGCACGATTCCGGAACCCCACCAAGAAGAATATGGAAAGCAAATCTTCAGGCGAGGTTGTGTATCTGGCTCAACCCAAAAGGCGATGGGTGTGGACAACTCATTTGTTTATATACAGCGTTGGGGATAACCAAAAGTGGCCTTGAGAATCAACTCAAAAGTACAGAGTTCTGGGAGAATGGACCAATCAGGGGCAAGCATGATCGGTGGTGTGAAAAGAGGCTTTTTGGGGCGAATATTTGTAAATTCGAATTTTATGGAAATAAGTAAGAGAAGAAAAGGAAATGAGGAAGGAAAATAGACATTTCTAAGGGGGAAATGGGCTTTTCCTTATCACCTTGAGGGGTTATTCGTTTCCTGCAAACACAAATCTAATAAATGAATCAATTCACTCTCACCATTTATATTAACCTATTCTGTATCGCTATCCGATTGGGTATAGGTGACAACTGCGGTGTGTATCGCCTACTCGGTGGATTACGTGATCATGAAAAGGGAAGGCGAGTTGATGTTCCGTTTAATCTATATTTTAGGGACACCCTGGAAAAAGCAAAGTTCGAGTGGAAATTTATTCTGAAGCATTTTGCACACACGTTATTCTTGGGGAAAAACTCACAATGGAGAGGGAAACTTGGTCCGTCTTTTCACCCCTTTCTAGTCACATTTGTTTACCAGCGTTTCGTCACCTAGCAATTGTCTTGACGATATGAACGTGCTAGCTGACGGGTCAACAACCAAACTGCCCAAAAAACAAATTTGTTTCCTACGGTATTATTCTCCATGCACAAGTAACATCATGCTAGATGTTTGGCATGACGGATGATCAAACGAGTAAACAAGTGTCGTAATCTGATAGAACAAGAACAAAAGTGGATCACAGATGATTCAATTCTCTGTTTTGTGTTTGTTTTGCACTATGAACATGAGTAATCGACCTCTCATGCTATGTGCTCATCTGTGTTATCTATGTATTCCTCAACTGTGAGCCTAAGCAAATCACGTGATTTCTTTCGACTGGGTTCTACTTCTCAAACTATCGATCGGTGAATTTATCTTAAATCTGCCATTTTAATGGCCATTGCGAGTGGGTCGAAGCGCGTGTACGCGCGCACTTTCTTAAAGCAACGAAATTGGTCAATAATTGGTGCAGTAGAAGGTATGTTTTGTTTGTTTCCCCTAAAGTTAGAAATAATTTCTTTTCAAGCCTTTCATTTATATGAAACAATTTCAGCAGGGTCAAAAAGAAAGGTGGATGAGTTATGTGTTTGGCAATGAGCCCAAGATAAGTCCAAATTGGTGCGCAGTTTGGATCATGGTCTTGTGAACAAACGATTTTCTTTCGCCCTGACCATGGGAGTTTGAGAGCTTGAATCAGTTTGCGTTGTGCGCACAGCTCAGGCTTCATGAGTTGGATGCTAATCGCCTATGCGGTTGTTAACGTCCGAAACCGTATTGCTCTCTAGGGGTGTGGTGAGACTCGATAAATGATTGTAAATGCCGAGCACCTGTCAACCAAGTGTCCCGTCTCTACCAGATGCGCAACAATCAAGCTTGACACAGCCCCATTCCTACCCTGGGTGAGCCAGCGTGGATTGTGTTCTTTGATCCTTTGAGATAACTAACTTGTCGTTCGAAATACATAAGTCGCACCACAGGTGCACTCGAATTGGTAGACAATCATAGATGAGGTCAACATAGGCAGTTTATCTTTGTTGTAACATTGGATGTTTGGTGACGTATAGAGCGCACATCTTAGCGGAGCGGCAGTGAAAGTAGATTTCACTACTGAGAATAAAACTCTACTGACCCTCTCAGTGGTGATATCACCTTTGAAAGGAAGTTTTATAAAAAGCATTTTCTTCTCCGCTTTTGGCATTAAGTTGGCTTATTCTGTTCAGTTCAGTTAAGGTCGATAAACTTCTCGGGATAGCCATTTTCCAGCAAGGTTCTCCTCACTATAGTTCAAGTTCGTCCCTTAAAATACCCTCTGAACAGATGCATCTTGCTCTCTGCAGGAGACAGCGTATGAGGTTACGCTTTTGATAGAGTGGGACGAAGCTATGCAAATTAGTGTACTGTCCACTCCATGTTACTTTTCGATAGATCTTTCTTTGGAAAGAGCCATCGGGGCTTCCGGACACATGACTCACATGACTCCACCTTTCTGTTTGACCCTATTTAAATCGTTTCATACAACTGTGATTCTAAAGGATTGAAAAGGAATTCACCGAAAACATATGTTCGCCTATATCGTGTTCCTAATCAATGAGCATATTTCGTGATTAGAAATAACTCATGTGGTGATTCAGATTGAATAGCAATTCATTTTGTTGAGATTTTCATTCGCTTTGCAAATCAAGGAAAGCTTGCTTTCAAAACGTTTCAGAAGTTTGTGACAATTAGATACTGTGTTATTTAAATTCATCTACTCCTCCATAAGTTCTTTGAGTCTTCTAGAACTGACTTACACGTTGATCCTCATACTCTACGCATTCTGTCTTTTCTAAATTTTTCGGGACCAGTTTTATATTTTTATATTTTATTTGTACGTAATTGTAAAAGGTCATTTTCCATAGGCACCATTAGGTGATATCTGACCTGGCCTTGTTCGCCGAAACCACCAAAGTACTCATCAAACTGTCAACAATACGGTGCACTTACAAGTACACCTGCACTCTTCTCCCCAGACTGAACTTGAAATCCAATCGATTGCCCTGTATGCAGAAAGTTGTAGAATGAAGATGATTTGGTTGGATATGCCTTGTGTGTATGACATTATTGCTCACTGGACGGAATGAAATCTTGTCCTTGATATCGATCCGTCAGAAAAAGAGATATTTAGAAAAAAATAAGAGTTCACTGACCACAGTTGTGTTGTTGGTGAACTGAGCACATGGAAACATAAATATAAACCACGGTGAGAAAATTTGATCCGGGTGGTGTCATATGATAGTCCTACTATGCAGTGGTACCTAAGAAAGAGCAGCGAGCTTTCTGAACGGCATGACACACAGAAAACTAGTAGTAGCTCCGATAACAATACTTCCAGTGGCGTGCGTGGATGTAGCAGCGATACTCATGAAATGGATCCCAAGGGGCATAGTTGGATCACTGGCAGCAAACATAGAAACCGAAGGAACCACATTTGTCCATCCAGATCTTCCAGCTTATACAAAAGCGAATCAAGCACGGAAAACGAAAACGGCGACAGAAGTAGCTGTAACGGCAACAGTTACGATACTGACAACCGCAAAATCACTGCCGAAATTGCTACCAAGCGCGGCAGGAGCAATGGAAGTAGAAGCAGCAGCAGCAGCAGCAGCAGCAGCAGCAGCAGCAGCAGCAGCAGCAGCAGCAGCAGCAGCAGTGGCAGTAGCCGCAGAACCGATACCGTTAGTACCACCAGCACCACCAGTACTAGTAGTAGCACTAGTAGCAGCAGCACAAGCACGAGCAGTGACAGCACTAGTGGCACCATAACCATCATCACCACCACCACCACCACCACCACCAGCAGCAGCAGCAACAGTAATAGTAGTGGTAGTAGTAGTAGTAGCAGCAGCTGTAACACCACCAGTAGCAGCAGCAGCAATGCAACCAGCAACACTATCACCACAAGTACAAGCACAAGCAGCACCAGCAGCAGCGGTGGTAGCAGCAGTAATAGCAGCAACAGTACAACCAAGAGTACCAGCAATGATAACACACAATGCAAAACCAGCGACACAACAGGAGATAAAACCGGCACAAATTGCAGCGACACGAAGTGTAGACACAATGCCAGGAGCAGTACGAGGACTGGTAAAGCAAGTACTAAAGGAAACAGAAACAAGAGTACCGGAAAAGACAAAATGGGGAACCGACATTCTCATTAACACGACCACCGCCCAAAATGGATTTAATCAGTATGATATACAGTGATTTTGTCGTAACTGATGACAACGATACAGCTTTATGGAATTCATGATCTGCGAAAATCGGCTTTTTAACAATTTGTACCATTTCCCCCATTTAAGCATTTGCTGTGACACTCTTTGCATGAGCGCAGTCCCCCCCCCGGAGAAAATCGACTGAACACTTGTTAACTCAATAAACAAAAATGTGAGTAAAAAAATCTATTACTACTATTATTATATTTTTTAAATAAAAAAGTTTATTAAATCCAGATTGTTCTCAGACTTTTTCTTGGTACACGCGTCTGTACCACACTTATCTTCGTCTACTGTTAGTTTAATCGGATACAAACGCACTGTGACATAACCAGCAGCC